ATATATATATATATATATATATATATATATATATATATTAGATTTAGATCTCAACAAACATGAAACATCTTACATATTGCACTCTGTTGGACAGTGGAAACTGGCAAGTAAGAATGAACAGTGAATTTTAGTAGAAAGTTGAAATAGAGGATGGTTACAGTTATTGTTGTATATCATTTTTCAACTCATCTTTTGATATTATAGGCTTTCTGTGGTTTTACATGTGCCAAAGGTATAAATTTCGGTACAGATTTTGAGGGATTCTCACCCTCCATGGTAATACAATTAGATTTATATTTATCAACTGAAAAAAAACAGAAACATTTTACTTTTTGAGTGAGGTATCCGTTGTACATATAACGCAATCATGATCCTTATAAAAATGAACAGGGAAAAAGGAAGAGATGGTTGAAATTTTCCAGCCTGATTTTTGGCTCTGGAGATCTCCTTGGTGGAACCCATTGTGTTATGGGTTCTGACTCCTGTATGTTTATCATGTCTGGGTAAAGATGAAAGGTTATGGTTCTTGATGTGTAAATTGGCAAAGCTGATTTGGTCAAAAACATTTTGTGCATGAATTGCTGCCACATTTATTTGAAATTTACTGTTAAGGCTCTAGTGTGTTGCCTGTACTTCCAGAAACCCATATAAATTTGACAAACCAAGTTAAATCCAATGGCTGAAAATTTATTCATATTCGTTGCAATTTATAACCTGAATGATGATCTGTAAGGACATATTGGTTTCATTATCCATATCTTTATTCGTACATCGACATAAATGGATAAAAGATAGTGCATTTAAATAAATGATAGGAGGTACAAGATACCAAACATTAACTTTTCACCTTTAACTTCAAAATATGGATTGTCCTTGGTCCTTGCTGCTTAAAATGGAAACAATTAAAACATTATCAATTTCAGAAAATATTTGGTTCTACTTGTTTCCAATTTTCTTTTTTTTTTACAGGTATGGAATGTCTCCCTTCGAGTATGCGCTTGGGGAAGCTGGGGGAAGCCTTCAGTTGGCAATTCTAAATGCACAGATCAAATGGCCAACTGGACCCAATCCCCCATACCCTGAACCTCTCCATCAGTTTGTGACATGGATGCTCCAACCCCAGGCTGCAGTTCGTCCTTGCATTGATGATATCCTTATTCATGTTGACAAATTGATCTCAAAGTTCTCATCCTGAGTTAGACACAAGATCATATACAGTTAAAGTACAGTTGAAGCATGGGCTTACGGCTTTGTGGGTTGGGGTAGTAGTGTGTAAGTTGACCAATCTTGATTTGCATGTGAGAAGTCTCGGTTGGCCTACGGGGTGTTAGATCATTTTCTTGAGTATGATTATTACAGAATATTATTTATCTTCTTTTTTTGTAGCTTTATAATGTGCATTGATTCAATGGTAGTGTATCACTCTCTTCCTTTTCATCTGATCTCACTTTGAAATTTGAGTTTGGATCTTCTGGTATAACTATGCTTCTGACACTGGTCAAAACAAACAGTAACAGGACACATTTCTATTTCGATACTTGAAGTCACAAATATTTCAGCAAATTTACGAAGGCATGTGTTTGATAAACGAGTCCGGATCTGCTGACCACAAAACACTGTGCACAAGACCCTAGAGCCACACATCGGGAACACGTCTTGTACTTTACATTGTCATTTATGGAAAGATGTTCCCGATGTGCGACTGTATATAGAGTTGTGTGCACAGGATGTGGCCAGCGTTTTGTGGTCAACAGATCCGAACTCTCGATGGACTCCCCAATTTGAACAATTCATTCAAGTTTGTACCAGGATCAGCTAAAATGCTAGCTGCTAACGTACCGGACAAGAACTCCATTGAAGTATACCAAAGGAGGTGAAATGATGATAATGTAATCTCTAACTTGTGTATTACATGTAAGATATTCCTGTTCCTCCCTCTATATTCTGTCTTTAGGATCTAGATGAACGTTTTTCCCTCCTATGTAGTTGCATCTGTTGGTGATCAAAACGATTTTTCTTTTTTTTTTCTATTTTAATTGTATGTAGTAAATAAGAAAGAAAAAAAATTGGAGAAATATGCAGCCCACTGCAAAATTTTGAAATTACAGCCCTTATAATCTACTAGTAGCCCCCTTATAAATTGCATCCTGCCCGTGGATTTGGCATCAATCCACGGCCAGGATTCATCTCACCTATACGGTGGGGTTAAGAATTCTGAGGTGAGCTGAACAGTCATTCTCCCAAAAAAAAAACAAAGAAGAAAGTACAAGTACAATAATATGACAAGCCACCCACAAGATTCCAAAACCCAAAACCTAGGGGTACTCATAGTTCGGCTAACCGTGGGCCTTTTTTTGTAATCAAACCGGTACTACCAGTTTTTGGAAAACCGGTAACCTAAACCAAATTGAAACCAATCAGTTAACCGGTTAACTGGTCTGGTTAATTGTCGGTTTTTTGGTTTTTACAATATATATTATAAAATTATATATGAATATATAATAAAAAATTATAAATTATATAAAATATTATATTTTTAATAATAAATAATATATTATATATTATAAATATATATTTATATATAATGCATATTTATTAATTTATAATATATATAAAATATATAATATACATAAATATATATTAAATGTATAGAGATATATGTATATCGGTCAGTTCGGTTAACCGCCGGTTTTCTATATTGGTTAACTGAAACCAAACCGGTACCTCCAATTTTTAAAAAACACCGAACCAACCGGTTTAGTTAACTGATTTTTTGGTTCAGTTTTGCAGTTTTTTCGGCTGATTGGTTTTTCGGTTTTTTTGCTCATCCCTACCAAAACCTATATCACCAAGACTCCCAACCCCCTTTTAATACAGAATTTTCCTTCTCCATTTTTATAAACACAAACAAGGCCCACTACCAAAACTCAAAACACTTCACCCAGCAGCCCCCCTAAGATCTACAAATCAACCACTATCCTAGCAAGTTCCACCATTCAGGTATCCCTTTCAAGGCTTTATTTGTTCAAAGGATACCTCTTTTCCATATCCCAGAACATTCCTTTTGCAAATTCTTCCCCTCTTAAAAACAGACAATCCTAACATCTTGCTTTTTTGGACTTGGGTTTCCACTATCTTTTCCAAATCCACATTTCTTTCTACTTTTTCTCAGTTGATCCAATAACCACCTCCTCACATTTTTTAGTTGAGCAGAAATGGGTCCCACCTTCTTCTCCTCAGCCTCTTTTTCTTTTTTTGCTCCTTCAACTTTAGTTGCTGTGTTGCCTCTTAGGCCCTGTTTGCTTTTTGATAAGTTACTTATCCGGGTAAATGCAATTACTTAGGTAAGTTTCTTTATCCAGGTAAGTGTATTTATCCATGTTCTTTTATTTCTAAAGTAAAAAAAAATAAGAAATGACTATTTTAATCATAAAATCCATTATTAAAAGGGGCATTTTTGTCCCATTTAAGTGTTGAAAACTTTTCCTTAGGTGGAAAAGTTATTTACCCACCTAGGAGATGGATCTCACTTACCCGATTAAGTGATACCCAGGAAAATAAATTTTTCCTGTTCTCTCGTGGAATGCCCCCTTAATGCCATTTTCTAATGAGGACCACTAGTTATGAGTGAGAATTAACATAAAATAAGAAACGTGGAAGGTACCTTATTTACTAAGAAAATAGATTTCAAAAACAGGTTATGGTCTTTGCACTATTTGTGGTAATCTCAGACAAATTTGTCCTCTGCATTTCAAGTTGGCAACTGCATATTCTGATATCTGCATAAAACCCTATCTGACCATGCGATATGGTTTGAATGTCCTTTATTAAATTATGAGTTGCATGTCATCGACATGGTCTTTTTTTTTTTTATCACACAAAACACTCAGCAAGCAGGTCAGGTGTGATGCAGCCCAACAATCTTGTCATCTGAGATAGTAAGATGTCTTCTGTAGACAGATGGTTTAAACAAGTATCTACATACTCCAGTATGGCTCATTCACAGCAATTATTCATTTTCTGACGTTGATGAAATGGTGTTTTTAGTCGGTGATCTGTGTTGTTGGTCCCCATTTGCTGTAACAATTGTAATCGGAGGTGATGGAGACTGAGGAAGGAACAGTACAAATTTTTCCAGAGAGAACTTTCAACATAGACAGGACGCCATTGCACATCAACATGTTGACGCTGAGCTTAGGAATGCCATGGGTTTTCTTCCTGGTGGGACCCAACCGCCATATAAGCCGATCGAGCAAGGCGTCTTCGTGTCACTAACTTGTGGTGTAGGTGGATCCTAATCTCTGTTCTGTCTACATGGCATCTCTATGTTGGTTGCTGGGATTCTGGGTCGGCAGTTGCCGTCCTCTTACGTTGGTTGAATCAGCTTTTCTCTTATTGTGGATAAACAAACTAACGGTATCCTTGTGAACGTTAGTTGTCTGTTTTCTTTCTCTGTTACCACATGCCACAAGTCACAGAAAGTATGTGATGGGAGGTAATTACCATCTACAAATAGGGAGATCAACTTTTTCCTTTTCTTTTCCTTTCTGGTAAAATTGGAAGTTTTCTTAGTTGAAAGTTGAAACATCAAGTCAGACAGTTCTAACTGGCTGTCCAACTTAAGTTTTAACTCTGGGGGATATTGAATTTTATCAAGAAAAGTAGAGGTTTTGATAATTTCATACTGGAACAAATAAACTCAATTGGTTACATAATCCTGGAGTTTTGATTTTCACTCAGTGCCTAGGCCCAGTTTCAGTACAAAGGCGTGTCCATGGCTAATAAGTTTTTTTTTTTTTTTTTTTTTCAGGCAAATCAAAGGTTACTAGAATGCTGGACACAGTAGAATGAGAATGACCAACAAGAGCAGAGTACGTTTTCTGTTGTTTTTCTTCTTCCATTTAGTCTCTTAGCATTTAGCTGGTTGTCGACTGTGAAGATGGACTCAATTATGTCCTCTTGTTTACCTCTTTCCCTGACCTCTCATTTCGACATGTCCAAGTGATAGACGTGGCTGGTTGGTTGGAGTCTGGCTTGGACATTTTCAACCACAAGAATGGGTCTTAGCATGCGGATAGCCGCGATGACTGACGCCTTTCGCGTCACAGCCTATGTGAATTTGACACATGGAATGATGCAGAAGGCGACTGTGACTGTCTTGAGAGTTTTCTTCTCGATGGGCCTTTAGATTTCATTCCTAACAGCTAACAACATTAAAGAAAGATATATTGATTCAAATAGGAGCCTCAAATAATAAGAGTGCACATTTTGGTACTCAGTCTGAGACTCTAGACTCTACAAGTAACTTCAATATCCATGGGCCATGGCCAAGGCTTGTTTTCAAGGCAATTCCAATGTTCCCAGTCATGTGAGGAGGGGCCCCTTAATTAATTGGACCAGTAAATATTAGAGCACCCACCTTGGTTTGGCAGTTTCACAGCTTTCTCATTTGACAAATAAAGCTTTTGAAAGCATATATCACAGCTACAATCAGCTGTAATGATTCAACAAGGGCTTCACCCACCAATTTGTGGATCATCCAATGGTCTAGGGACAGGATTTTGGGTTTGTTTGGATCACTGGGTGGAATGGGAATGAATCCCATTTCCACAGGAACAGGATTTTAATATGTAAATCTGTAACCCCTTTTTCTTTTTGGAGTTAAAAACGAACTAGTTTAAACCAGATCCAATCTGCAGATCCGAGAAACTTGTGAAACTGGTTCTGTTTTGTATTTCAATTGCCTTTATCCATGGTGACCCAAACATAGGGACTAGACTACCTCTTAGTCAAGGAATCAATTGAACTAGTGTAGAGTAGGACATTAATGCGACCATAAGCTGGACTGGGCTGTGGACCTGTGGTGTTGAGTAGATTTTCATGGAGATGGGGTCCCTTCATTAAATCAAAATCCTTTTCTATGTTACCTCTTGCAGTTTCCTGTCGTGAAGAGTTGGTCCATTTATGATTTATGTCAACCAATTGAACTGCTCATTAGTCACTTCCAGCCTAAAGATGATGTTTGATTTCATCTAATTACAATCCATCAACAAGACAGAAGGCCAAGAATCAATTTTATCATCACATGGGAACTCAACAACCAACATGATATTACTCGTGGGCCTAATTATAAAGGGGGAGAGAAAAAAGAGATACAAGCTAAAAAGAAGAAACTCCTTAATGGAAGTCATCTTCTTCTCTTTTCATTTCTGAATTCTGATATTTTTTGTTTAGTGTGAGAACTGTGAAGAGCCCACCACCAATGTCTGGGCGCTCTCAATCCTTTTTTTAGTAGGTCTCTGACTGCATGACCAACCAACAATGGTCAAATGTCCAAGGGAGCATTTCTAAAACCATTTCCTCTTGGAATTCATGGCCCAGGGTTGTCTTTCTTGGTTGATCTTCCATTGCTGTTAGGGCTACAAATGATGTAAGTCGGGTTGGGTTTTAACCATTAAAATTTGAATGAACCCGACCCGGAAACTCGAACCCAATTCAGTGTGAATTCTTCAAATCGGGTACCGACTTGCACATAATGTGACAATGAAGTATATGTCTCAACTCGGACTCTGGGACACGGATGAGAGATGGGAGAGAGTTTCCAGCATGTCCGGAGTCAGATGAGCCAAGTCTCAAGCACATGGCAGATAGCTGGCACATGCAACTCTCTCTCTCTCTCTCTTTCTCTCTCCTTCCAACTTTGACATAAATGATTCCCATTGGCCAAAGAGTGCCGCAACCACGTGTGGGTCCCAGGAACCTCCACTCAGCTCCTTGGCCCCCCCCCACTCGAGAACACAGCCAACCACAAGATAACGGGCCAACGCCTTTCACCCGCTTACATCTTGCCACGTGTCACTTCCTGGATTCTCTTCTCTCCCCAAAGTCTCCCGCTTGCTTATGCTTACAGTTAAACCCCCCCTCATCACTTACAACTCACACACACGACTCTCTAGTCTCTAATGTGAAGAGCAGAGCCAGATAGAGGGGGAGAGAGAGAGAGAGAATAAAGAAGGAATTCTGAGAAAAAAAGAATGATGCTGAAGGAAGAGGGGAGTTCCGGCGGAAGCAGAGGCGGATGGGCGCGGATGTGCGACTCCTGTCGCTCTGCAGCCTGCGCAGTCTTCTGTCGGGCGGACTCCGCGTATCTATGCGCCGGGTGTGACGCACGCATCCACGCAGTCAACCAGGTGGCCTCGCGGCACGAGCGCGTGTGGGTTTGCGAGGCTTGCGAGCGAGCTCCTGCAGCTTTTACCTGCAAGGCCGACGCTGCCGCCCTCTGCACCACCTGTGATGCCGACATACACTCGGCCAACCCGCTTGCCCGGCGCCACCACCGGGTCCCCATCCTCCCCATCGCTGGATGTTTGTATGGCCCTTCACCTACAAACCCCGGTAGGCGTGTGAGGCCTGATATCAATATAGAGGATGGGTTCATGACCCAAGAAGGAGACGAGGACATAGATGAAGAAGATGAAGATGAAACAGCATCTTGGCTGTTGCTCAACCCTGGTAAGAATGACAACAACCAGAACAATAATGGGTTCTTGTTAGGTGGGGAGGTTGATGAGTACCTCGATCTTGTGGACTATAGTTCTTGTACTGACAATCAGTACAATCAGCAGCAGCATTACAGCGTTCAGCATAAGAATGATGGGAGTGACAGCGTTGTGCCAGTTCAGTGCTTGGCAGTGAAGGAGGAGCAACAGCAACAAAATCTTCACCTGGACATGGATTACGATGCTTCAAAACCTGGATTCAGTTATAGTCACAGTGTAGGCCCTTCCTTTTAATAAACAAAACAAGGCTCTCTTCTCCTGTTCCATTAGTTTTTCCATGGCAATCTTCAATTGCTTGAGTTCCAGCTATTTGGGCCTAATAGTTACTTCTTGGTTTTTATTTTTCTCTTCTGGGGTAGGAATATGTGGTCCAATTAATTTCCTATGGTCTTTTCTGTTTATGGTTTCTAAATTTTGTTGTTGGAATCTGCATTCATAGTTCTGCTTAATTACTTTCCTATGGTCTTCTATTCCTATTTAGCTTGAATGGTTAGCTCTGGACTTAAAGTCTGCAATCTGTATATTAATTATGGCCTTCTTCACCCTAAAGGCAAAGGGAAAATGTTTCTCTTAGGCTGTTTTGGTTTGATAGATAATAAGAGGGAAACAGAAAGTTGAGGGAAAGTTATCAAGGAATTTCACAAAATCTGATAAGAACTTTCCCTTAACTTTCTGTTTCTCTTATTTTCTAACAGAACAAACGTAGCTTTAGATCTTTGACTTTGTTTATCCTATTTGCAGTGCTTGAGAAAGGTACTATCATGGGTTTCTCTCTGTTCTTTGCTTTTCTATTTCCCATTAAATACAAAGTTACTGTTAGATCTTCTGTATGTAGTTCATCATCATCCAAGCCTTTTTTTTCCAATTATATGGGGTCGGTTAATCTTCTATATGTAGTTCCATGCAATAAATGCAGCAAGTCCTTACAAGTTTATGACGTTTGGTTATTTGTTTCTTTTAGAAGTTGTCAATAATCATGGGTTCTCCATCTGATTGTTAAAAATTAATGTCACTCATCATACTGTAACTGTACCATGCCCAGTAGGCCAGTACATCTCAATGCTTATGATAGTTCTCATTCCAAATGATATTTCTACTATTCTCAGCTTGAGTTTTTTGGGTTTTCTGTGTAATTTTACAATCAGGTCTCCCTGTCATCAATGGATGCCAGTGTGGTACCAGATGCTATGATGAATGACATATCCAACTCCCACTCCAGACCACCCAAAGGAACGATTGACCTCTTCTCAAGCCCTCTTGCAATGCCTCCACAGTTCACTCCCATGGACAGAGAGGCCAAAGTCCTTAGATACAGAGAGAAGCGAAAAACTAGGAAGTTCGAGAAGACAATAAGGTATGCCTCTAGGAAGGCCTATGCAGAGACCAGACCTCGCATCAAAGGGCGGTTTGCAAAGAGAACAGATGTGGAAGTTGAAGTGGAACAGATGTTCTCCACCACTGTACTTGCAGAAAGTGGTTATGGTGTTGTCCCATCATTCTAACTCAAAAGGGGAAAAGAAGAAAGAGGATCACACCATCTGGGTGTGAGAGAAGTATGATCTGTCTGTATTATCACCATTACTATATTATGGCAAGCAGTTTGACTTGATGAGAATCATGCATGTTAACTTGCAGGTTCTCTTTTTCTTTTTTCTCTCTTCCCCCCTGTAAATACATAATAACGTCAGAACTTGTAATTGTAGCTTCTGCATCTATTTATTCCTTCTGATTATCATGCCAATTTTGAAGTTTTTTTTTTTTTGAAGCCATTGAAGTTTTGTTTGAAGGGAACACTATACTTGTTTAAGAAAATTCACTGCACTTTTCACCAATTGGATGAGAATAGGTGCTTACAAACTTCACCTTCCTGGTAAGAAATGAACATTTATACAAACCAATTATTAACCACTCTCAGTGGTCATTCCATTACCTTAGCATCTTAACTATAAATATATATATATATATATATACATATATATAAAAAGCTAGGTCCGAAGGGCATGTGAAAGAATTGGTGATTCCTGACCCACAGTAGGTGTGACAGACATCTGCAAGCTTGCAGCTAGGATTTCAGTGACATTTATAGACCATTAGATTATCCCTGCAGCTTGGGTTCAGTTCATATATAGCAATCTTCTATTAAGATATTAGAAAGTCCGCAAATATAATAGTGAGATGGTGGTGGTATATGGTAATCTTCTATCATGCAAACTTCTTTATTGTAGTTGAACTCATTCAAATTAAATCTCAATGGAAAAAATTGTTTGACTTTATAGACCATTCCATATTTAATATTTTGATCTAAACGTAAAGATATCAGAATCCCAACTCATGACTAGTTAGTTCATCAACCAAGAAATTTAAGTTTCAAAAGCATCCTTTTGCAAATATTTTAATAAATAAACAGTAAACATTACTAAAGAGGCTCCTCCGAGTTGAAACCCTTCAACCCAAGTTTCTGATGTATATTTTTAGTTAGACTCTTAGACCTCGTTTGCTTTTTGATAAGTTACTTATTCAGATAAATGCAGTTATTTGGGTAAGCTTTTCATGGGAAACACTTATCTGGGTAAGTGTATTTATTCATGTTCTTTTATTTCTCATGTAAATAAGGTAATGACCATTTTAACCATAAAAATCCATTACTAAAAAGGGCATTTTTGTCCCATTCAAGTGTTGGCAACTTTTCTCCTAGGTGGGAAAGTTATTTACCCACCTAGGAGATGAATATCACTTAACACCCAAGAAAATAAACTTTCTCTGGTCTCCATATAAATCTGAAAAAAAAAAAAGAACATGGGATTCTTGGTCAATGGGAACCAAAATCCCATTTACCAACTTTCCCCCCTCTCAAAATCCAAAAAAAAAATGCCCCCTTAATTCTATGATTCTATCCTTTCACTCTCACACTTATCTCCCTTCTACTTTTGTCTTGTTTCCTCTAGTTTTACGTGTCCAATCCAGACCCAATAACACAAACCCAATAACCAAAATCCCATTCTATCCTTTCACTCTCACACTCTCCCTTCTGATAGAGTGCCTCACAACACATCGCTGTCCTCCATTGGGAATATCCAACAGCTGAAAGCACTGTGAGAGTGGTGCGAGGTGCACTCTATCAGGAGCAAATCTGGATTCATATAAGAAGGCCTTCACTGCTATATTTTTTTGAATTGTACGCCTGAACCCCATGGGGGTCGTAATTCTTTTTTTTTTTTTTTTCATTTTTTGGCCACAGCACAGTACGTCAACAACAAATAACTCTTCAAAGTCGGTGGAAGCTGTTAGGACTCAAAATTCGCATTTCCACTGAGACAACCCAACTAATGTATCGACTGAATCAACTGAGTCACCACTCGGTTGGTCTTCACTGTTATACTAGGACCTCAAAGATGCGACACGTGGATAATGCCAAGTGGCATGTTGTCATCACTTTATTGACGCTGGCAGAAAGTTGATTAATAAAGCATGTTGTCAGTTTTATTCGAAAAGAGAAAAGAAATCCCTCTGGGTCTGGGCCTCTGGCTAGGCTAGTTCTATATTGCGTGAGAACTTAGACATCCACATTGTGTCCATTGCTCTTAGAATTATTGTTTTTCTCGATGAATTGCACTACAAATAGTATTGAATTTGGGGTAGAAAACTATAAAAAAGGGAAGAAAAAGCTCATTGATATTGATTGAGTAGCCTAAATTCACTGGTGTTCTTTAATAAAAGTCCTCTGCACTTTTTGCACCATTTGGAGGGAAAGATATGCAAAAAGAAGCCACATGGAAAGGAATGGGAGAGGCGCCTCCTAGGTGGGCTTTATGGCTCTCTGATTCCCTCTTGTCTGGTCCAGCTATTATTCGAGCCCATGAGAGCTTTTCTTCTTTTGGTTGGGCCCCAATTGATCCTGGGCCCACGCACTTTTTTCCCTTTAAGTATCAATTTATGAAACGCCATTGGCCAGCCTCAGTGCTTTTTTTATTTTTCCATTCATGGAGCACTCAGCCCAAGATTCTTACTTTCTGGATGGAAAATGTCATCAAAGATAGCAAAATGAGAAATATCCACGTCTCCAAGAAAGAAGAGACCTTCATTTAGCAGATATACTCCTTATTGAGGGCCTCTGACCACACGTTTGCTCTCGCTTTTTCAATTAGAGGTTTAGTCACAGATCGTTGAATTTAACAAACCAATTAGATTAAGCATTACACCCTGGATCAATATTTTGAGGTTGATGGCCACGTTGAAACAGCGAGAACCAGAACCAGATCCCTTCAGTCTGATATCTGAAACTTTTGTCTCAACTTCTGTACCTAGAAAATCAGTAATCTGTCTTAATTTTACATTAATAACAATCATGACTAAGTTGCAAGTAGATCCAGTTCTCATCTGTATCTACAAAATAAATTTGCACTCAAAGCACCAAGAATTCGTGTTATAGTTGACAAGCATCCATCATATTTAGCTCCATGGCCATTGGGAATTGATAGCCACCAGGACAAAGCTAGAGAAAGAAATCTAGTTTCATAATTTGGTGACCATAACTTTCTTCTAGAGGAATTTTTCAGAAATCCACAGCATATCCGACGCTAGAAGAAAACAATCTTTCAAGTTTCAACCTGAAAGGAAATAAAGGTACAGCTAGCTTTAAAGGGTTGGTGGAATCATATGTCGTATGCCAAAATAGACAGATTAGGAGCCGACAACCAACACCATTATGTATCATGGCATGGTTTCGCAAATAAATATAAAATAATACAAAATATAAAGTTTTACACTACATATTTGTGTTTGTGGCATCAGTTTGGAAAGAGTAGGGATGTAACTTGGGCGGGCCCAAACTGGCCCAGCCTGAAATTTTACACGGATTGGGCTTATATTTTCGGTCTTTCAATTAAATTCGGGCCCAAATCGGATTTTTTATTTTTCAAAACAAGCCCAAACGTAACCCTTAAGTAGCCCAACCCAGCCTAACTATACACATTCATACATACATATGTATACATATATAAATTTTACATACATATTTACATATATACATATTTGCATAGATGCATACATATGTATGTATAATTTTAAAGTGGATTCATTGACCAACCCGAGCCCTAATCCCAAATTTTAGGATCGGACCCAGGTTGACCATAAACCCGGTCCAACCCGCCCAATGCCATTAATCTCCACTTAAAAGCTTATTCACCTTCAAGGAGTATCCTGTATGGAAGCATTAATAGAAATACACCTACCATTTTCATCTTCCCCATGATTTACAATTAATATAAATCTCCACATGTATGCGTATCTAATAAAGATAACAAATCAAGCAGCAATTGCAATAACCCGAATGCCAGAAAGGAATTGCAAATGCAATAAACATTCAGGAAACAATAAGTGGGATCAGGTTTAGAGTATCAGTACACGCAAGGTTCTAAATATCGACACTGACCGATACACCGGTAGAGCGTACCGTCTTGTGTCAGTGATATTTTTTTTAATGTTTTACTTAGTTTTTTTTTTTTTTAAATCGGTTCAAAGGGGCCGGTTTAAGGCCCACCCTCTGAACCAGTGGCTGACCCAATATAATCCCTATGCATATCAAAAAGCCACCGGCACGATACATATCAGCCCGTATGGACCGATACGTATCAATACTTTGAACCTTGAGTACACCCAAAATGCACAAACAGGCGTATTAGGTGTTTTGTGCTGACCCCTTGAAAATGACCCAAATCCCAAACCCATTGTATTTGCAGTATTGGTGGCTTCCCAATATGATTGGGCATATCGTGTTGATATTTTGAATTTGAGTGGTATTCATTAGCATTCAGGGGGAAATAAGGTTTATAGCATATAAAATTCGGTTCATTTGATCAAATTGGAGATGGAAAAAACAAACAAACCATAAAAAGGTGGACTAAATATCAGAAATGGACAAACTTCTCAACCGAGAATAGTCCATACTGAGATCATTCCGACTGCATCATACTTGCCATGAATCCTACTTTTCATCTACATGATTGTTAAATGAAAAATCACATTCAGATTAATCCAAGTTTCCAATAAAATTGGGGTCAAGGCCCAAGCGTTATACAACAAAATGTTACAACTTCAAACTTACAATTAAGACCTAGGTGATAAATCATGTGGACCAAAAACTGAGACGTGAAAAAATCCCCCCCCCCCCCAACAAAGAACAAGAAAAAGAAAAGAAAAGGAAAAAAAAAAGCCTCCCTAACTAAGACCTAGTTTGTCACAGTTGCAGTTTTCTTCTCTCTTCTGCTCAAAGACAACTCCAAATATGAGGTTCTTTTACTTGAATGTATGTCCAAAGAATAAAACTTACATGGTGAAGCAAGTGGAGGTCAAGATCTGTGAACTAATGAGTGTTATCACAAGGAAGAACGAGAGAGAAGGTTTTCCTTTAGCCCTAAATAACAAGTATCATGAGGGAGGGTAACTGCAAAACCAAAAATAAAAATAATAATGTCAATGCTGATTCAATCATGAATTGCTTGTGCACCTTGGCAGGCATATATGACTGTCAAACTTGTTTTGGGGTCAATCATCATGTTCACCTTCACCTTCAGAATCTGCACGGGGAAAAGAAGTGTTTGAGGGATCAAAGAATGAGATTGTTTAAATTAAATAAAGGTAAGGGGAAAGCCAACCCCCATATTTAGATGTTTTCTATATGTCCTCTACTTGTTCCAGTACAGTTTGCACTTGTATGATAGAAAGTAAGCCAAATACATTATCCCTCACCCCAATTCTTTTCTTTTTACAAGCATTTTCTGTTTGTTTTCAAACTTCCGTTTCCATATTTCCTCACCAATTTTGTCCCATATAGTGTGTTGTAAGGTTTGAATGTTCATTGTAATTGATGTTAGTGGGACAGTTTCAGTTACTTTACTAGTTTCTTTTCCTATTGTTCTTATTCTAAGATATGCCGCCAGAGGCATACTTGTAATTTTGCCTTTTTATAAAGATTAATATAAATAGAAAACTGGCGGCTGCCAGTACAGAGTTTTTGGCCTTTCCTTTCTATCATCCGTACCTATCTCTCTCTCTCTCTCTCAATCATCACAAGAAACTACATGGTATCGGAGCGGAATTTCTGGGCTGGAGAAGACCTACGATCCTAGCATCAGTTTTTCCGAAGGGGATTGGACGTGACTACTTTTGTTTCAGAAGGAAAAGGAGAAAAGGAAAAAAAACCTAGCGGCGGCTTGTGTTTTTAATTCTCTCTGGCGACTGTGTTTGCAGAAACCCACTGTGCTTGCAGAAACCCTAGTCAGTCCTGTGGCTGTACATCTGCTGAAATCCTAGTGGACTCATGCAACAGTTGCTGAAAACCCTAGTTGTGTCTGGCCGTGGGATGGTGCTGGTCTGCTGAAACCCTAATCGAAGGAGGGAGTTGATGGTGCAATGAAACCCTAGCAGGTTCTGATCTAGTGTTGAACAGGTGTGTTTTAGTTTCAGTTTCTCTCAGTCTCCTTTATCCAATGGTGCGTAGGGCTTAGGC